AGCTTTGGCCCGTCTAACTGCCTCCCTACAAGCGCGAGCAGAGGAGGTATTCTCCTCTTTGGTAATCTCTCCCTGTTTCCACTTTTTATATGCTCCCCTTTTAGCCCGTAGGCTGCCCTGGATTTCTCTGGTCAACCAAGGAAGCCTCCTGGCCCCTTTCCCTCTTTTTCCTCGCATCAGGATCATCTCCCTCTGTGCCTGAAGGATCATTTCCTTAAGGCACATCCACCCTTCCTGGGCTCCCATCTCTTCAAAACTCCTACTCTGCAGTGCATCCTTGACTAATCACCTGAGTTCATTGAAATCAGCTTTCCTAAAGTCTAGCACTTTCACCCTACTAGTTACCTTACCCACTCAACATCTTATGGTGAATTCTATTATTTGGTGATCACTGTCCCCCAGGTGACCACCGATCTGTAGGTCCCCTACCAAGATCTTGTGGTGGGGACAGCATGGGATGGGCTGGGGTAGAGCTGCGACCTGCTTCCTTCATGCCCCTACCTACAGTGACCTTTCCTATCGTGGGGGCATGTGGGCAGTGGATCACTGCTCTGCCCTGGCCTGCTCCATGCTGTCACCACCACAAGATCCCAGAGTCTCCCTGGCCCCAGCCATCCATCTAACTCCTAGCCACAGCCCCATCCCAGCTGCCTGGCCATGTGCCCTGCCTGCACAGGTCCTTCCCCCAACAGTTTGTATGGGGTGGATGGGCTAGGGTACCTGGGCAGCTGGGCTGGGTCCAGTAGCAGCAGCCAGGAGCTGCCACTGCAGGGGCTGCTGGAAAATTGAGTCCACCATGGGCTGGATCCAGCATGCGGGCTGGACTTTGCCCACCCCTGAAATAGAAGCAGTCCTCCAACATCCCAGGATGAACTGCTCCTACATGAATGATCTAACCTCCAGAGTTCTACTGCCCCAGAATGACAGAAAGCCAGGTAGAGCTGGCAGCCACAGGTGAATGGGGAGAAAGGAGCTAGGGGTGAGCCATAGGGGCTGGGGAAAGGGAAACAAGGGGGAGCTGCTGGAGAATGAGGAAGCTCCCAGTCACATTTCTCCTTGCTGGCCTTCTAGCAGCAACCAGAACAGTCAATGTCAGAGTGGGTATTAACTCTTAACGTGCAACTGCTTAGAGTACATGATAACTTTAAACACAACATAGAGTTAGCATGTGCATATTGTAATCTCTAACAACATCCTTAAGTGCATATCTGCAGTCCTGAGTTAGGTGCCTCTGTGAGCCAGCCTGGGATTCAAATCCCAAAACCCCTTCCAGGACTTTGGCACCTAAATCATCTGTTTGGGTGGGTGGATATGGACACACCTATTAGAGTGGGTCTTTTGAGAGACTTAAGGGAGCAGATGGGTGTCTCCTCCAATGTATGGTTTATGAATCCAAAACTGATT